CCAAATCCGGCGAGACAAGTCCGATTCCGGTCTCAATGATCTTATCGACGGCGAGATCTTCCATTGTGAGTTTAAGTCCCGGAGATAGCTCTGGCCGGATAATAGTTGACGGCGGCAGAGTCGGAGCATCAGGACGGAGACCTCCCCAGTAACCACAAAGTGCGTGCCAGACGTAGATGTAATCAACGGTGGAGAATTCATCTTTCAGATCTCTGACGAAAGCTTTCATTCCGACGTCGTTTTGATCTTTTGGAGACACGTAGTCTTTGAATTTGTGGTTCTCTTCAAACTTCAGAAGCCTGTAAAACCAGAATAAACCGGTGTTAAGATTTCAATAATCAAACACAAAAATTCCGGTTTATAAAATCTGGTTAAATTAAGCCAACCTGAAACCTTGATTATAAGTAATTAAAATGACTAAACCAAACTAAACCGTTTAAAACGTCCTTATTTAACACAATAATAGTATCCGGTTAGATTGTACCATAATAAACCGGTTCACTGACAATCGAAAAAATTGAAAGGGTAAACCGGAATAAACCAACCTGCAAGGCATTTGTTCACCGGCGACGGTAATATTCATCCCTTCGACATCAATACCGTCGGAATCATGTCCAATCGATTGCCAACCGTCGTCAATAAGAACCAATCCCGGAGGACAACCACCGTCGACGAGACACTTAACACCTTTATGAACTCCGTCAGGATTCACCGTCAAGTAAAAAGCATCCCACGTGCACCACCCGAACTTATCAACGATTCCCGGCGGCGATTTCTCTTCAAGAAGCTTGAACGTATTCATATGAACCCTAATCACTTTCATGGCGTCTTTCACTAGCTTAAACGGATCATCTCCGGCGTGGACATACACAATCTGACGAAACTCCGACCCGGTTACTTGGGTTGACCCGGATTCCACACAGACCGCCACGTCATCGTCTTCTCCGGATTGGAAAGATGAACGGAAGGAGCCTTCAAGAAGAGGTAACAAGAGAACATAAGGACGACCCGACCCGGATCCGGATCCAGAATCCGACCCGGATTGATCAAGAATGATGATTTGGGTCTCGTTCTCGATGTCACGTCCGTTTGATCCGACCCAATGAGTGGTCCACCAAACCTTGAAACGGAATATGCTCATGAAACGAATGTTCTTGAGTTTTCCGATGGATGCCACGTGGTGGCTTTTGGGCTCTCCGTCGAGGTTAAACCCGATGAATGAACCGGCGGAGACGTCGATTGGTAGGCCGTCTTTGTCGGTTAGGTGAGGTGAAGTGGTGAGAGTAACGTTAACCGGAACATCGGTTAAGACGACTTGGCCATTTGCTAAGAGATTGGAATCTTCTAACCGGAAAAGAGGTTTTCCGGTAAAGTAAACGCCGTTGGTACCGGAATCGGACTTGGTTACACTAGGTGGAGCCATTTTGCCGATGAAGTTATAAGGTTTTGGACAAAAAGATTGAAGATGTTTTTTAGGTTAAGATGGTAGAGAGTAATTTATAGAGATTATGAATCTTAAAAACTTTCCCAAATTTGATTATTTGATAAGATTATGGATTGAAAGAAAGATTGGGAATGTCATTAGATACTTATAGATTTATTGGTCGACATGTAAAGGAATGTGTAAAAAAATGAAACCTATACTTTTTTCGTTTTTGTTAATATATTTACTTCTTAATATATTTTGATATATTTGTGGGGCATATTTGATTTGCTTACCTTTAGATTTGGTCGTTGGTAATTTAATACGAATAGAAATAAAATATTATATACATGGTTCTAGTCACATGGCTCTTAACTATTTCTAAATTTTTATATATTGCATCATAATTGCGCCTTTAATTACCTACCGACATACTGTATGTAACTTTCACGGATTGACCAATGAAAATCATTCATTACTGATTTTAAAATATTCACTCAACTTGTTATATTCATTTCAGTTTTGATATGGAAATAATTAGAGGAAGAAAGAAATGTGACAATACCAAAACTAGGGTATAAATATTTAATTGATTCGGATGTTTAATGTTTTGAAACGCTTATAGACATTAGATGATTGACTGATATCGTCACATTTCTTTAATTCGTTTTTTTATGTATATATATATAGTATATATATATCTATATATACATTTTTAATCAAGTATGCTATTTCTTAAATCATAATAGATCAATCCATTAGCTCAATTAACTCCATTGTAGAGAAAGAGATTTAATTCCGGATAAAATTATGCCAATTTATTTGTAGATTTATGCTACACTGCAATCACTTCACATGTAATCTTTAGTTTAAGATAATGCCTTAGATTTTTTCATTTTTTATTATATTGATTGTGAGACTAATGACAACTATATTCTAGGACTAGATTAGGGAGAAGAATTCATATGTCTCTCAAATCTTTCATCTTTTTGTTCTCTAAGTGAGACTAATTTGTTATTTTTTCTCTATTAAGATCTTAATCATCTTCTTTCGTGTATGTATTCTCTCATATTATTTTTTTTTCTTTTTAATAACTCTTCAAAATAAATTTTGATGGTTAAACTTGTAATTGGTACCTTGTTGCAAAACATATCTCATCTAGTCAGATATGTCTCATTAATTTTAGAAAAATCGTAATTGGCCTTTCTGTTTCTAGTTCAATTCAAACACAGTGTGGCAAAATAATTTACAAAGATTAACACTCAAATAACCTCTCGTAAAGTTTAACCTTTAGCCTCAGCCCCATGGCCCCATCAAACTTAATCCTCAAGGGGTACAACCACACATTTGAAAGTTTGACAATATATATTTTCACTAAATTTAAAATTCGAATTGTATCCACATTTCTGTTAATGCCTAACATTTTCCATCTCATAATGTATACCCCCATCAAACTTTCAGCTTCGGTCTGTAGCTATATATTTGAAAGTTTGATAATTTATACCTCCATTAAATTTAAAATTCGGGCCGTATTCCCATTTATCTTAATGCCAAACATTTTCCGTCAAATCTTTCATAACGGAAATAAAAATATAACTCGAATCTCAAATTTAGTGAGGTATGTATACATTATATAATCAAACTTCCAATTAACTTGTTATAACCCAAAGTTTAATCGAATGAACCCCTTACATATGCATTGACGTCAAACAACAATTTGATAACAGAGACATTATTACTTTGTAAATACAATTTAGGTGGAAAATGTAAAATTTTGGTGGAAAAACATGCGACAAAGAGCTTGGTCAGATCAGCTGACTTGTAAAGGGTTTGATTTGTCACTCCATAGCTAATAAGCAAGAACATTCCTAATTTAATGGGGATTATGCCACGTACTATCTAATTGCCTTGATCTTGTCTCAACCGACCAAAAACATCATGTCATACAATTTTTGTTTGGATAACCGTTTTGTTTATATGAGAATTGCACGTGGAGTTGCTCAAAATAAGCCAACGCTTAATCAAAAACTTATGACGAAAGAAATCCAACGGTCGTGTGAAGCAGTTACATTTCTATTTCTTGCACCGACTAAACAGATAGTATTAGATTACACTTTTTATTAGTACAAGAAACGAGTAGCTGCACCTACCTAATTAGAAAAGTTCAAATTTTCAATATAAGAAAAAAAATACTATATTGTTTAAATTTTGTGGTTAGAAATTTATGTTTTAGGGATTAAAGTTCGAGATAGGATTCATGTTTATTTCCTAGGGTTTAGGATTCAGCTTTTAAATTTCATGATTTTAAAATTTACAAGTTTATGATTTAAATTGTAGCTATTAGGTTACTATTTTTTTAAACTTGATATAAAATAGAGAGTATTTTCATAATTCTCCTTGCATGATGCTTCCATAATAAAAGAAAATCTATAAAATAATATTTTTAATAACCAAAATTTTAATAATCTAAAACCAAATAAATATATATAACTTATTACGAACACCCAAGTCGTGGACATTGCTCGTTACTAGCAACACACTTGTCATGTAACAATTGGACTTAGAGTGTTTTCATAGCTGGGCGGTGAGAGATATTTCAAACTGTTGAATATTATTATAACAAACATTTCTTCTTTCCCCATTTTTTGATTATTATTCTATTCTAATTGTTTCCCCTTTTTCTAAGGTTCGTTAGAAAGTTAAAGCGACAGATTCACGCGTTTTATAGTGGGCAGCTTTTAATCTCATAAGAACATGTGCAGTGGTATCTCTCACCCAAATCTCTCAAATAAAAAAAATTAATAAAATAATACAAACTATTATTTAATAGTAAAAATCTCTAAAAATAATACAAAAGGTCTCTCAAAATCTCTTGAGAAATTCACCACTTTTTTGGAGGGACTTTCACAATTAAATAATAGTTTATATTATTTTATTAATTTTCTTTAATCTGAGAAACTTGAGTGAGAGACTCATATTGCACATGCTCTAACGTTCCAAAAATACTCACATTAGCTAAAAACTATAAAGTGTAAATTAACCGACTCTGAAAAAAAAAACAAAAACAAATAACAAAAAAACAGGCTTATGATCTTAAAAACGTCATACAGTTCTTTAATGCTTTTAGTAAACAGCGCGTAGTCCATCTCTATCAAGAAACTCATCCCTCGGCCCATCTATATTGGGCTAACTTTGGTTCGGATTATATAAAAATAAAGCCTCCACACTAAAACAATTCCCTAAATTGTTGGAACTTGGAACTACGTTTATGATTGCATGCATCAACCATAATCATTTACTAACTTACTAATCTGTTTTTAATTGAGATTTTGGGAAATCCTTCAATACCTTAACTCTTTTAACAGCTAATAAAAAGTTAGCATGCAAATAATCATGGGAAGATTCGAAAAGACAATTGAGTGACGGTTTGAAAAGACTACTCACTGCCTTAATTCCACCGAGTGATTAACCCAATCACAAATTACTTTTTTTTTTTGGTTCCAATTTCTCAATTGATTAATTTGACGACAGATTTTACTGTCCATAATAAACCTCTAGAATTTTAAAAGCTCTCGTTCTCTAATTTGTCTCTCTCTCTCTCTCTCTCATTTCGACAATTCCAAATGGCGAAGAAGAAGCAATCTCAGGCTTTGGTTACTCGATCTACGGCGAAGAAACCGTCAGAAGTTGCATCAACTTCGAAGAAACCGTTGTTAATTCCATCTCCGGTGAAGAAGCCGTCGGGAGTCACATCTCCGGTGAAGAAGCCGTCGGGAGTCACATCTCCGGCGAAGAAGTCGTTGGAAGTCGCATCTCCGGCGAAGAAGCCGTTGGAAGAAACATCAACAACGACGAAGAAGAAGCAACCCGAACCTGTTAAAAATCCACTGCCGGAATCTTCTAGCGAAGAAGAAGATTCTTCATCTGATGAGGAAGAAGAACCATCCAAAGATTCCGGTAAGGAAAATCCAGAAACTGCTGTTGTCACCAATCAAAGTTCAGTTTCAGAGTCGGAATCGGAGACTGAGAGTGAGTCTGAGACTGAAACTGAGCCAACTGCCAAAACGCCGACTCCTGCTGCTGCTCCAGCTTCTCTGAATAAGAAGAGACAAAGTGAAGGAGAACCAAGAAGGAGAGTGAATGTGTCTAAACGAGCCAAGACGGAGAGTGAGACAGAGACGGCGAAGAAGCAACTGTTTCAGAGACTCTGGAGTGAAGAAGACGAGATCGTGTTTCTTCAAGGAATGATTGACTTCAGCAGAGACACGGGTAAGAGTGTTTCAGATGACATGAATGGGTTTTTCGAAAAGCTTAAGGATTCAATTAGTTTTGACGTGAAGGGTGTGAATCAGTTCCTTAACAAAATCCGGTCTTTGAAGAATAAGTATGTGGTGAAAAAGAAAAGTGGTGACTTTACCAAAGATCATGATAAGAAATGCTTCGAATTGGCTAAGATGATTTGGGGAAGTGATGTTAATGCTACTCTTGTGAAGTCAAAGAAGAAGATCAAGGTTGATGACTCTTTGAAGGTTGATGTTGTGAATGTAGAATGTGATTGGTTCGTGATGTCGTTTCTTGTTGGTGCGTTTAAGAATTTGGGTGCATGGATTGATGAAGAGACTTTGAAAGAGAAATGGAGGTTGGTACCGGTGAAGACGAGGAAGAGGATAGAAGAAAAGATTAAGTCCGTACAAGCTAATGAGTTCAAATTGGTGTTGCAAAAGCTTGACGTTATGCATGAGGTGAGCTCTCTTTTGGCTAAATCTGATTAGTCTTTATCTATTTAGAGATGCATTTGGCTTTTGTTTTGGTTTTGTGTTTGGAACCCTTATGACTTTCTGGTTTATGTTCTTTTGGATTTTGTTGTAACGGCTAATTAGTATCAAATGCATTTTTTTTGGGTCTTAAGTAACAACAAACAATCTGATGGCTATTCATAATTATGTATACAAAGTCTTTATGTTAAGATGTGTTTTGGACAATCTTTGCCAGTGACCAAAGTTAGCGTCTCTGTTATTCCTTTTAACATTACACTCTGTTACATTCAACACAAGAGGTTTTTTCTGTCGGTTTATTTGTTAAAGTTGGATTTTGGGCTTCATGTGGTGTTTGTTGAGATGGGCTGGTGGGAGTTTCTCTGTTCGGGAACTAATGATTGTCATCGGCAAAAGCTGAGACGGTAGTGGACTGTATGTAACTTGTAACGGAAGCAAGATGATTTTTTTTTTTTTGATAAGTAACAATTCGTTTTAACATGTGAATATACATACATGAAGAGGCAAAAAATTGAGATTAACATGTGAAGAAAAAGTCCAAACAATTGAAGAAAAATTAGATAACCAATACAAATCCAAGGTGTTCTCAAAGATAAAGTTGATTCATCAAGAATAAAATTTAATTTAAGAGAAAAATTTGTAGAAAAATAAAATAAAACAATGGAACAAAAGATAGAAGTTCTCAAGAAGAGCTTTGTGAGACACAAAGAACAACAGAAGAAGCATTGGTGGAAAATGACACAATTTGTCAAGAAATTGGGCAATAGAAACAAGAAGCCAAACTATTTAGCGCTCTTGTAAGAGTCTTATGAAATCCTAAGCACTCACATACGCTTCAAATCTTCTACGTGGTCTATAAAAGTGTAAATCTCTTGGCCACTAACAGGTCCAATTCCTTGGATTATAACTCTTACTATAGTCTTCTTCTCCACATTGTAGTAGAGAATGTAAAAATGATCACGTAGAACGGCCGGAGAAAACACAAATTCACCATCACCAGTCATCCCAACAATGTTCAACCTTGTATTTGCAACAAGATTCTTCCACAGAGGCGGCAATACGTAGATTTTCTTCAACCATTTCAGTTTCTCAACATCATCTAGAACCCACAAATCAAGACTTCTTGTTGTTCCGCTGAAATAACCGTTATGATCATGACGAAGTACACCTAATTTACCATGGTAATTTATCAGAGTTGGGTACCAGTTTACATTGTTATCCAGAGCTTGATGAATAAATGTGAACTTCTCGGACATAACATCAAAGCAAACTACGGTATAAGGTTTTGGAAACCTAGGTTTTGGAGTCCCTTTGTTCTGATCCGCTAAATAATACAAGATTCCATCGATACAAATCCCACCACTTATCGGGAAATGGGGTAGGGAACATTCAATCTTTCTCCATGAAGGATTTTTAGTTCCTAATGTCAGAACTTGATGCTCCTCGGATTTCTTAAGCATTGTACAAAGTGACATGCACAATACCTTGACTTGTTTGTTGATTGGATCATACCCTAAATAGGTTCTCGCTTCAGCTCTCCTTGTTATCACTTTGGGTAATGTTATAGACTGTCCTGTGCTAGGGTTATAAACCATCGCCTTTAAATCCTTAAATCCATCTTTGAGCCATATATATTGAGTACAAAGCAAGCCACGAGCAGGGGCATTGACCAGACATGAACCCGTTCTAGTGCGGAGACACATGTGATGATTGGTTGCTAAAAGAGACAAGTTCCCATTTGGATTTTGAGGCTGAGGTGAAGAGAAGAAGAGCCATTTACCGTTGAGTTTGAAGCTGAACAATAGTTGTGGACGAGCCGAAGATATTCTCAGGAACAAATCAGTGAAATCTTGACGGCGGAGAATAGAAGACCAGAGCTTCGACACGCAACGACACCTCGCTATAGTTTTCGCAGATAATCTCGAGAATATTTCAATAAAGAGATCAAATGGTAAAGTGTGGCCATTTTCCTTCTTGGAGACGTGCTTCTGCCCCTTTCTCATGGTGGAAACACTAAGAGTTAAAACCCTAGATTTTCCCAAACCGGTACTATATATTAGTCGCGTCTTCCATGATTATCTTTTGTTTTTTTTTTTTGTTAAAACAAAATATAATTCAGATGCAGAATTAATTTGTTTTTTTGAAGTCAATATTTTTAATAAAATATAGTTGCAAATTCATTGAAAGATTGTAAACAAAAGTATACTCTTAAATTCATTAAAATATATAATCAAAATTAAATCTTGAAACACAAGTTAAGAAACAAATTGCAGAAAAAAAAAACAGTGGAACAGAAAGATAGAAGCACTCAAGTAGAGTTTGTGAGACACAAAGAGCAACAAGAAGCATTGGAAATAACATAAGTTTTGAAGCAAGTGAGCAAGGGAAACAAGAAGCCGAACTGAACTCTATATATAGCAATGTTTGCAAGATTCTCATGAAATTCTAAGCAGTCACACCTCTTTTATCTTCAATGTGGTCTATAAAAGTGTTAATGTTTTGACCACTAACGGGTCCAATTCCTTGAATCCTAACTCTTAGGATAGTATTATTCTCCACATTGTAGTAGAAAATGTTGAAAAGATTTGGATAGAACGGTTTTTACATGAACCCTCCTTGTTTTCACTTTGGGTAATCTTATGGACTGTCCTGTGCTAGGCTTATAAATCATCACCTTTGAATCATAACATCCATGTTTGAGCCATAAAACATTAGTACAGAGCAACCCATGATTCTGCTTGGTGCATACATGTGATGTTAATTAATTTAGTTGGATTGATAAAGTGAGAAAAGTTTCTACTAATCCTGAATCGGAATTGAAAATGAGAGGGATTAAAAGAGCCAATCAGATTTCCAGAAGATGCGACAGCAACTAAAACATATGTCAGAGTCAATGACTTGAGGTTTAAGATGTTTTATCAGTGAAAAATTGCCATCTAAAACATAACATTCGATGTTTAATCAGTGAAAATTTGCCAGCAAAGAGAGATGGTAGTCCTAACTAAAGTAGTACTAGAAGTAGTCGTCCTAAGACATGTACAACCCAAAAAGTACCAAGGATATAGACTAACGAAGACATCCTGGTTTCGATCATCGGATGAACGCAGTTCTTGTAAGTTGTAAGATATGATGTATTCGATTAAAAAACCGAGCCTTCATTGTTCTTACGATTTCGTCAACATAAAATCCAGTGTCAAATTATAACGATCAAGAAACGAGAACTAAAAAAATTTGGACCATATCTCGATTAAAGCGTGTCATCCTTGCACAGGGGCCATGCTAATCTTCTCTGTAACATTCCAGTTTTAGCAAAGGTGACAATCTGTAAGTTGACTCTAGCGATATATAAACACTCGTTTGAATGCTAAGGTAAGCGATGTGGGATAAGACATTGTTTCAATTTGGGTTGAATGGGCCCAATAAGATCAATTAGCTAGGCATCTCAGATTCCTCATATCTTGAGGCCACTTTGACCCTAACGATCCAAGTAGAGAACACATTTCTTCTAAAGCATGTTGCCCCACCATATCATTGAGATGTACATGTATCTTAATTAGTCCTCAAGTTTAATAACAAAAGTTAGCAAATATATTAGATAAAGGATGTGGGAAAATAGGAATTGCAGAAATTTGGAGCGACGTTTTGGCTTTAGTTGCTACGATATTGCTACAGAGCATACTTTAGATCATAAGTATGTGTATAGTAAACAGAGAGTGAAAAAATCAAGGTTCATAGGTATTGGATTGAAGGTGGAATATGAGCTAAAAACGATGAATTATTGCATATATATGAAATTGCTGCAGTGAGACACAAAAAGTATTGGTGGAAAAGGACACAAGTTTTTAAGAAAATGAGCAAGGGAAACAAAAGAAACGCTCAAGGTTAAGGTGATTGAAGAACAAAATAGTTTCAAGATACCTATTAAGAAGATTCGGATTATATATTAAACAAAGAATGAGAAAAGTGACAAACAACAAACTAAATTTTATGTAATTTTACAAATTTATGAAATCCTAAGCACTCACATACGCTTCACATCTTCTATGTGGTCTATAAAAGTGTAAATGGCTTGACCACTAACGGGTCCAATTCCTTGGATTGTAACTCTTACGATAGTATTATTCTCCACATTGTAGTAGAAAATATATAAAGGATCAGATAAAACGTATGTAGAAAACACAAATTCACCATTACTAGCCATTCCGACAATGCACAACCTTGTATCCGCAACTAGATTCTTCCACATCGGCGGCAATACATAGATTTTCTTCAACCATTTATGTTTCTCAACATCATCTAGAACCCACAACTCAAGACTTGTAGTTGTTCCGCTGAAAAATCCATTATCATCACCACGCATTACACCTAACTTATTAGTGTAATTTAACATAGTTCTACACCAGCCTATATTGTTGTCCAGAGCATGGTCAATATATGTGAACTTCTCAGATTTAAAATCGAAGCAAACTATGGTATAAGGTTTTCGAAACTTAGGTTTTGGAAAGTTGTTGTTTGGATCCGCTATATAGTACAAGACTCCGTCAATACAAATCCCAGCATTTAATGGGTAATGAGGTAAGGACCATTCAATCTTTCTCCACGACAGTTTTCCCGTTCCTAATGTCAGAACTTGACAGGCCTCCGCTTTCCGAATCTTACTACAAAGTGACATGCACAATACCTTGACTTGTTTGTTGATTGGATCATACCCTAAACGGGCTATCGCATTAGCCCTCCTTGTTCTCACTTGGGGTAATGTTATGGTCTGTCCTGTGCTAGGGTTATAAACCATCGCCTTTAAATCATTATATCTATCTTTGAGCCATGTATATTCAGTACATAGCAAGCCACGAACAGGGCTAATGACCCGACATGAACCTGTTCTAGTAGGGAAACACATGTGATGATTGGTGGCTAAAAGAGACAAGTTCTCGTCTGGATTTTGAGGCTGTGGTGACGAGAAGAAGTGCCACTTACCGTTGAGTTTGAATGTAAACAAGAGATGGAGACAACCCGAATACTTTTTCAAGAACAATTCAGTGAAAACTGGACGGTTGAGAATGGAAGACCAGAGCTTTGACACGCAACGACACCTCGCTATGGTTTTCGCCGATAATCTCGAGAATATATCATCAAAGAGATCAACTGGCATCAGCTCTATATTAGTAAGTAATGTCGAAGAAGATCGAGTTTGGTGGTTCTCCTCCTCGGAGACGTGCTTCTGCCGTTTTCTCATGGCGTAGACAAACCCTAGACAAAAAGTACTATGTTTTGTTTCTAATTTCCAACTATCTATTTTTTCTTCCCAAAGAGTCAAATAAAACGACACCGACCTTCTTCCACGATTTTTAGAGTTTTTTTTTTTAATAATGTTATAAAATGTTTTAATTTTTTTTTTGGTTTTTAATACTCTATACCGGTTATAAGTTTGAAAAAAAAAAAAATTCAATGCTGAATCAAACTCATATATACTTCCACATACGTGGCTCTCATCGGCGCTGACGTGTGTTAATACACTTGTCAAACAAAGCACATGAACTCGCAAACAAACCGTTGATCATCGAATCTTCAATCTTCACCGTTGTCAGGAAAAAAAAAAGTGATCACTGCAAAGTGCGTCGCACTAGATTATGCCTCTCGCTTTATACTATGTGAGATCTTTCTAGTCTTATGAGAATCTTGAAGCTTCTTTGTTTTCCTTCAATCTCTTTGGTTTTAATCTACAGGTATGTCTAGTGATTTACACAAAAATTTCCGATTAATTTCCCGGAAACTTGTAGAAGTTTTCTCGCATCATTATATTGTCCCCTGTATAGTTGTATCATGCTACCATCTTAGCTTTCTTGCTTTGCATGTCCATTTATTGAATATCATTAGTGTATTATTATACACAGTGCAATAAATAATATTTGCTTCAATTTTAAACTCACAATTTTTAATATCTTGAACAATTTTTTAACCTAGTTGTAAAAATCAGTTTGCGTTTTGCTGAATTTTGCATATACTTTAAGATCCAAAAAAAACAGATAACTATTACAATTCAAATTGATAATTTGTTTTTCCACAAATGAAAATTTGGATTTTGATTCGATGTGATAGTATGCTTTGAAAACGTAAAGGCCAATAATGCTCAAATTGAGGCCATGTAGTATATGTGTGTAAGAGAATGGAGCTTTGCAATATTTTAGAACACTGGGAGAATTTGTGAATAATATGTTCTGACTTGTGATAACTGCAATATTTAGGTAACTTAAATGGCTAATGTTCCGAAGATCGGAAAGGCTGTTTATAAAGGACCAAGCGTAGTTAAAGAGATCATATATGGAATAACACTAGGCCTTGCGGTTGGAGGGCTGTGGAAAATGCATCATTGGAACAACCAAAGACGAACGAAGGAGTTCTATGATTTACTCGAGAAGGGAGAAATCAGTGTTGTCGTCGAAGATGAGTAGTTTTCGTGTAAGTATCTCGGTTTTAATCTTACATTTTATATATTTGAATTTGGATACATCAATTTAAAGTGTGTCGTGTGCTTAACTGAACTGAATTTTGATTGTGTAATTGTTTTCTTGATGTATGAAGGAATTTGTTATCTTTGGAATTCAAGATCAAGAACCAATTAAGGAATGTGTTTTGGCTTGTGTGAGGTATGATTTCAATTGTTTTGTTAGAATAAATTTTAGAACAATGGGAGTTTACAAGATATCTTTAATGGTTAGTGTTTTGTTGATGAAGGATATATTGTAATCAGTTTACAAAATCTATGTTTGTACTGCTACCGCGTAATTCACATGTTATATTTCCGCTTAGGGAAATCAGATTACTCAAAAAATCTATATGCAATCAGATGAATTTTGTGTACACCTACCTCAAGAAATGGTGAAATATATTCTAGGGAAAAAATCATTAGTTTGTACGAGTAGTAGAAGATTCTGAAGAGGTATAAGAAGTTTGATCGGTTTTGACCATCGTGTTAAACGTCGTAGTACTATTGGTGCTTTTAGATATAGTACTGCCGCCCTCTAGGTCTGTAGCTAGAGAGCTAATCCTCAAGAAGGGAGGATTGGTTGGAGATGGAATCGGGTAATCTCTCTCGGTTAACATACGAATCACTTCTTCCATTGACGGTCTCAGCGATGGAGAAGCTTGTGTGCATAACAATCCCACACGAAGAACTTTACAAGCTTCAGCTTCGCTGCCTTGCACTTGAAGAAACTCATCTTTTAGACATGGGTCAAGAGCTTCGACCAATCGACTCAGTGTATAGAGGTTCCAGACCTAGAGAGAAGAAACATTGGTGGATTTGAAAAATCATAGCAACCCTAAATTTTGATTACAATGAATGAGTTTTTTTAGGGATTCTTACTCTTTGTAGGAGATGACCTGTCACTGGTACGAAAGTGTTGTTTCTTGTTCCACAAGCGATCTCGAGAACAAGAACTCCGAAGCTATAAACGTCTGCTTTCTCCGTTAACTGTCCTCTAACAACATACTCTGGAGCCATGTAACCTCTGCATAAAGTGACAAAAATCAGTTTGAAATATTTATTTCGAGCTTAACACATGAATTTGGGTAGTGATTTGAACCATCATGTGTTCTAGTGTTTTTGAGTAGCTTACAGAGTTCCTGCGATGCCGGTACTAAGATGAGTTTTGTCCAGACCAAAACATCGAGCCAAACCGAAATCTGCGATCTTTGGGTTGAGCTGGTCGTCTAGAAGAACATTACTAGTTTTGATGTCACGATGAATAATCCTCACCGGAGATCCACCGTGTAGGTAAGCCAGTCCTTCCGCTGTTCCCAGGATTATGTTTAGCCTCTGACTCCAGTTTAAGACCTTGCTTTGAGTCTCATCTGAAAATCACAAAGCAATAACTTATTAGACTCTACTCTGTTTCTAAAACATTTTAATTTTCCTTTTCTTCTCCATTTAGCCCCAGAGCTTTCAAAAGTTGTTCAAATGGTCTTTTCTCTTTATGATAGAACCGGTCCAAGTCTAATAGCGAAAACACCGAATAAAGCCACATGTATACACAAAAGCATAGGCTAACAATGAAACAATGCAATGCTCTAGAGATAAACTTGAGGAAAATTTATTACCAAAGAGAAATTGGTCGAGGCTTTTGTTAGGCACGTACTCATAGACCAAGAGACTCTCGGGTCCTTCAATACTACAACCAAGAAGCTTGACGAGGTTCTTATGTTGGATTCCACTAATTAGATTCACTTCGTTGAAGAATTCTTCTACCCATTCTCTTGTGTTGAACACTAATCTCTTCACGGCCACGTTCTTGCCATTTGGAAGGATTCCTAAGAAAACGGTGCCATTTCCTCCTTGCCCTAGTATTTTCTTGGGGCTGAAGTAATCTGTTGCCTTCTCTAGAGTCTCGTACTTGAACTTCGTCTTTGAGTTGTTGAATTTTCTCGAAACTAGACCCAAGTTTCTTTGTTCTGCTCGTGAGGAGATAATAAGTGAGAAATCAATCGAAAGTTAGGTACTTAGGCATATGCATTCGTGCATTAATTTAAAGGTTTACCTTGTTTGGTCTTTGATACTTTTAACATAATGACATACGTTGCCAAGAGAATGAGCATGACGAATGCTGACGTTGTCAAGACTATAGCCACGATGACACCTTTGTTAAAAAACACTACCAACAAAAGAAACACTACATTATTTTGGTTCAATGTGTATAAAACATTAAATATGAAGTTGGATTATTATTGTTTGAGTTATTTAGAGATTCGATTATTATTATTTTCTTCCATTTATATAACCAAAAAATAATGGTAAAATATTAGAAACACAAAAATAAAGTCGAATCCAAACTAAAACAAAAAATAGGAATAATGGTCAAAGTATAAAATGGATATTTTCAATCCACATATCCAAAATCTATATATGAAACAAAAATCAACGTACGGGAAAATAGATAATAAACCTTATAAGTTATAACTATGAATTTTATAACATATTTTTCTTCTTTTTTATATCTTAATTAACCAAAAAATTTAGAAACACTAAAAAGTCGCGAACAAACTAGAACAAAAATCGCGAAAATTGGTCAAAATACTCAAAAACTATGAAATGTGTATAATTAATATTTTCTAAATTAAAAGTATGACATAAAAATAAACATAATGAACAAATCTTACCATGAAATTTATGATGTCCATCACCATTATAGAATTTATGATCAGAGTATCTAAGATAACACCCTGTGTTCATAGCTCTTCCTTCTCTCCTCGAAACGCATCGTTTCACTTCTTTAATAGCTTTCTCCAAACAAACCCTACAATCTTCTTTCCCCAAACTCTCCCAACACTGAGCAAGCGCGTGTACTCCACTCTCTCCGGCGACTCCAAACCCTCCTTTTCTAACGGCGACTCTCGCCGCAGTTTCCGAAACTTGAAACCCGAACAGAGGATCCAAAACGGTGTCGTTGCTGCATGAATAACTATCCGACGTATTGGAGACTGATTCATCGTAAAACTCGTAAGTTTCGTAACGAAGGAAGCAACCGTCGAGGAAGATTCTTGCGGAGGAAGAAGGTAGACAACGAGGGAGGCGCGTGCGTGCAATCGCGTAACAGAGCTGACAATCGGACGGTGAAAGATCGTCGTGGCATTGGATCAGTGCGTAGATAGACGGCGTGGAGTTTAATGATTCAGTTGCGAAACGACGTGTAGTTAGTTTAAGAGAGAGTGAATGCATATCTTCGACGAAGGTTGGGATGTAGTTTGGATCTGCGGAGGATTTGCTACGTCCGCCGCAGAAAAGACCGGAGACGGTGGTTCTTGGATCGTCGGAGGAGGACGACAAGATTGGTAAAAAGAAGAAGGAATAAAAAATGATGACATAATGAAACGGTATTGTTTTTGTGAGGCAATGCATTTTTTTTTTTAAGTTTTTTTTTTACTTATGTTGTGATGTTTGGTATTTAAATATAGAATTGTATTTGCAGAAAAGGCTCATATGACAATTGACATTAGGACCGGCCAAAATATTTGTTATATCGTTTTATTAAATAATTCGTTTTGATATGATTCAAAAAATTCGAATAATCGTAAACAAGTCTTGGGCATGATATATACCAAAACTCCATATTTGTAAAAAAGCAGTACACAAAAAACATAGTCCGTTTCGTTTCTTGCTATAACTAAGCATTACACAAGTTTAGAGCTTAACAAATTGAATGCATAATAGAATGACTTAACTAAGTAAAAAAAATCTATTTGAATTAATTAATTAATGATGATGCTACGTAAAAAACATTTATTTGAATGAATTAATTGATGATGTAATTAACGAATGGATACAGATAAACGATGGAGACATGGATCAGGATCATAATAGAGAATCCTGGATTTAAGGCGATGGAAAAACGTGTACAGTTGGATGAGTCTTAGGTCCAAAACTAGTGAGACATTAGACTTCAGACATTCATACTGCTTTAATTATTGAGTACGAAATTTTTAATGGGTTTTGGATCATGGAAAATTTCAGGGGAAAAAAACCCATTTATAGAAAAAGTTTGTTTTATTTTTTTTCTTAAAGTTGTAAGTAAGATTTCTAATTTTATTTTCTTAAAACATTATTACGATTTGTGTGTGAATTATTAATCAAGAAACCACACATGTCATAATATTTCAAATTCAGAAGTATCCTTATCAGAAATTAATAAATGGGCCGTCCTAATTTATGCGTCGGTGGCTAACTCGTTAAGTTGGTGGGGTAGGGTTAGGTTGGGTGCAGCTAAATTCAATAATCATCGCCTCAATCAATTACTGACTCGATTCGTACTCATCCGATGATCGGAATACAACGTTACGTATTATTTTTTGGAGTCAAGTTTAATGGTGTCTAGAGTTTTGGGACACGAATATTGAAAAGAATAAATATAAATCAAACCTAAGTTGGTTCTTCACTAGTTGTTCTAGTATGATTTGTCAAATTTAGATCTTAATTCATTTTTTCATAATTATTTACTTTTCTTATGTTTATCTATCTATCTATCAAAGTTTCATTAAAAAAAAAATCCTAATTACTAAATCGTTTGTAGAGTTTTTGCAACAAGGTTAAAAGTTAAAACTGGTAATATTGCAAGGAAGGCCACATGATAAAATTTAATGTTGAGGGTCACATTTTCCAAATATATCTCAACGTTGGAAATTGTTGCATGCATGATTCATTTCTTTAGGTTTCAAGATGAAGAGTTAGAATCTCAGTGGCGTTTGGTGTATTTGAACAAAGGACTCAATTTAAACTTTCTCTTTTACATAAATAATTTTTGAATTTATAAATTAGATCTCTTGCTCTTTTTTTTTTTCTTTCAAAAAAGCATTTAAACATGACATATTTTTTTCCGTTTTTAGAAAATTGCACAAGACCTTCACATAGACGAGACTGTCTTCGATTTAACTTTGCTTGTTTCTGATTATTGTTAGTTTATGTTGACTAAATCGTTAGCCAATTAATAAAATCTTTTTTTTTCTTAAGTTCTCTGTGGCTACAAAAAAAAATGTTCTCTGTGAATCTTTAACTATCTTTGAATATGTTTGTTAACAAATAATTATTGTGACATTCATTTCCAAATTTTTGACATCCAAATTTGAAAATTTAATTTATTTTAATGATATAAAATAGTGTAGTAAAATAATAAGGGAGATTGACACAAATAGCCCCAAAAAAGTTGTTTTTTCCAAAAATAGCACCTCATTTGAAAAGTTCCACAAATATCACCATAAACTTCAATTAAACTTAATGAAAATATAAGATAGAAAATAAAAAAGAGAGCAAACACTAATCTAATATTAAATTGAATCAAAATTGTTTTAAATAGTGGAAATATATACCCTAATTTGGAAATAGGGAACCCAAATATAATACCACAAACTAATATTAAAATAAAAATCTCTTTTAAATGGTGAAAATATATACCCTAAATTGGAAATAGGGAACCCAAATATAATACCATAAACTAATATTAAAATGAATCAAAATCTCTTTTAAATGGTAGAAATATATACCCTAAATTGGAAATAGAGAACCCAAATATAATATTTTAAATTTATTTCTAATTTATTTTGTTGAATAGCTTTTATATAAAAGTTGTGGTATTATTGAAAAAAAAAGCTAGTGATAAAATTTTTAGAACAAAAACACTAATAGTAAGTTAACTAGTGCTATTTTTGGAAGTTTATGGAGTGTGTGCTATTATTGTCAATAAAACTTGTTTTAGGGCCATTTTTAGGAATTTCTCAAATAATAATCAACATAAAATACTATTAAATCTGTTTTTAAAAAAGTTTGTTAAGGCCAACAATATTTTATGGGCCTACGGCTTTAGGCCACACCAAAGTACTGATAAGTCTTGTTGCAACAATAAATTCCATCACAAAATTCTTCGTTTTTTTTTTTGTACAACAAATCAATGGACCCAACCACAAATAATTTTATTTGCACATGTAGCTTAAGAACTCTACACCACATATTGAAGATATTAGACTCTAAGAACAAACTAATTGATCAAATTTGATTATTAATGTTTGCATGGTCGTCTTTGTATGTTCCGTTTCAAAAAGAAAAATTTAATATTTGTTTTTTTTAATGGTTTTCACTAACTAAAAAACTAAATGGATACAATGCTTGGGTCATAAACTAAGGCCTTATAAAATAAATAAACTGAACCAAACCAACAACTAAGGGGGATGGAAATTAGTGGAGGAGATTAATTGGGTTTTTAATATTTTTATGCATAAATTTATACATCCTATATTTTTTTTCACCAATTATATGATTTCTATAAAATGAAATGAATTAAAATAAAAAATAGTTTATTTTATAACTAGATTATTTTATTATTATTTTCCTTAAAAAAAAAAGGATCATTACAAAATTCAACTATTCTTAAATAGTCAAAATTTTCATTTTACACGTGCCAGACGTTCACCAACCTAACGATGTAAAAATAATAGCAACAAGGCCCAATAAAAGCCCAATCAACAAATCTAACGTTTCAAAATCGACGGCCAATAAAAATAAGAACGTTAGAGACTTTTGACTAATTCATTTATACAAAATATCATCCATTTAGCGTTTTTAATTATAAAGCCTAGTGATTCGCTTTCTCTTCTTCCTCATCGATAACCAACAACCGAAAACTAGGGTTCTCTAATCTCGACGAAGATGGCGACGCAGAAAGCTAAGGAGATCGTTAACAACGATTCAGTCGTTGTTTTCAGGTTCCTCTCTTCTCTCTAATTTTAAAATTTTCAGCGATTCTCTCGATTTGTGTTTGTTTGTGAATTTTCGAATCTGTGTGTTTGTGATTCTTTACATGGCTTTTATTATGTGTGTTTGATGTGAATTTCCATGGAGTTTTTGTACGATTAAGGATTCATCGATGTATCTAGACGGTTTTGTGTACCAAAGGAGTTTGTGATTTTGAGTGATCTAATTGGTGATTTTCTGGAATTTGCAGCAAGAGTTATTGTCCGTATTGCGTGAGAGTGAAGGAGCTTTTGCAACAATTGGGAGCTAAATTCAAGGCCGTTGAGCTCGACAACGAAAGTAATTATTTTTTTCACCATGAATTCGTATCATTTGCTGTGTTTATAATCAATTCGTTTCATTTGCTGTGTATAATTGTTGTTCTCTTGCTTGTTATACCGAGATTCGAGTTTCGGATTTTGTTTGATCCAAGTATAGTGTTTTGTTTCGAAAATTTCTCTGTTTTTTGATGTTTCGGAAAGTTCGAAATTGTTCTGAGGTTTAAGTGTAGGTTATTGATCCAAGTATAGTTTTTTTTTTTGTAGAAACGTTCGCTGGAGTTTCATGTGTAGTTTTTTTGGTCCAAGTGTAGATTTTGTTTGTGATCACATAGTCGAAAATTTCTTTGTTTTTTTAAGGCTTCATGATCATGTGGTTTTATCTTCCGCGAGTCAAAATTTTTTAGAAAGCATATGATTTATTGATCCAAGTATAGGTTTTGTTCATGAACCTACTGTAGAAATTTTCTCTTCTCTCTATGGAGATTCGAGTTTATGTTTTTGATCCAGGAATAGGTTTTGTTCATGAACGCATTGTACAAAATTTCTCTGTTTTCTTCGGGCCCTTATGATTTTTTGGTTATATATCTTTCACGAGTCAAAGAAGTTTCAGCAAGCATGAATATTTTACCCTTAAGCAGTCTTGCAAACAATGAACTATGAGTTTTTGCATTTGTTCAGAGTTGTAGATAATCTCTAGACTCAAGCATTGTTCTACACTTCTGATATTTTTGAATAATTCATTGCTGTTGTTTAATACAGGTGATGGTAGCCAAATTCAATCAGCTCTTGCAGAATGGACAGGACAACGCACCGTGCCTAATGTGTTTATAGGAGGAAATCACATCGGTGGCTGCGATGGTAAGAAGATCAGAGCAATTCTCTTCAAAACTTTTCTTTGCTAGCGGGGTGAGGACTTGTATACAGTCATTCTAAACAAATATTTGTGATTTTCATTATTTTGTAGCAACAACAAACTTGCATAAAGATGGGAAGTTGGTTCCGCTGTTAACTGAAGCTGGAGCGATCGCAGGAAAGACTGCAACAACTTCTGCTTAAGAGCAGATCCATTTGTGCTTGCTTCTATCATGAATAAAGAGGTTTGAGTCATAAATGTGAACTTGTTTTGTGTCAAGTTAAGAAATATTCTGATGTTTTAAGATTATGGTTATGTCGAACTCGGATTTGAACTTCTGATACATTACGTTATTATCTTATGGCTATGCTTTTGGTAACATTTTGGGCATAAATAGAAACTCGAGTTTTAGGCTCTCAGGTAAAATCAATTGAAGAGTGCACATAGGTCGTCATAGTTAGAAAGATTGAATATTGCTACAATCAAGAAATGTGACATTTTGAGGACCATCAAATGAGATTAGGGAAGAAAAATAACCGAATCCGACTAAAATCAATTGTTCATACACAATTTTTTGTGTTGCGTTTGAAATGCATATAGGCCGCCGAGAGATAAGAGCCTAAGATCACATCCATTTGTAACTGCTTCATCAGGAATTTTAAAGGCTTGAGTCAGTAATAATAACTTGTTTTGTCGTCAAGTTTAGCAACAGTCTTAAATGTTTCAAAATTCTCATCTTCTCAATATGAGTTTGGTAGTGCCTTCAATGGCTATTTCTATTATTTTTACTCTAAAACTCATTTCCGCAACCAAATTGTGATTCCAAAGCTTTACACTAAAAGTCCAAAATTGGAATTCCGAAACTTTTGCACGAGCCCTCGATAAAAATCTGTTTTCAAATAATAATTCCACAGTATTAGCATCAAATTGTAGTTGTGTAATTTTTTTTTTTTTTTTTTTGTCAACCACACATTTATTAAAAAGTTCATTGGTTGGTTGCCCAACTAGAAGGAGAAATGTTTACAAAAGTAGCTTCAGAAAATAAAAGTCTAGAAGAGCGCGCTAGTTGTGTAATTTTATTTTTGCAATAAATGAATTTTGGTGCCAACCCTAGTTCCGCAATTCCAATTTGGATTGGCACTCCTAAAACTTGACATCACCACCATTCTAAGAAAATTATGTAAAAAAATTGTTTAAAAGATAAAATTTATGTGTCCACAAGTAGGAAAAATCAAAAGCAAATGAATGTGAATTTCAAATATTAAGTCATTTAAATTTGATAGATATTTTTATGCGGTAATATCAAAAGCTTAATGCAACAAGAAAATATTTAGGCACAATTATAACTAAAATATGATACTTAGGGTTCTCTCATATATTCGAAAGTATTAGTCCACCATATCAGTTCAAGGATAAAATAGTCATGTTTTACTTTATAAAAAAATATATTAAAATCCCCAAACTATTATGACATATTAGGAACTTTGTGTTTTGAGAGCATTTCCAATGCCACTTCTACTTTTTTCTCTATTTTAGAAGTGATTTTGCTCCAATATATGCTTCTAAAATAGAGGAAAAATAGAATAATACAATACTCATCTCTAGTTTTTCTTCTATTTTAGAAGCATACATTAGAGAAAAATCAACTCTAAAATAAAAGCAAAAAATAGAGGTGGACATTGGAGATGGTCTGATAAGAATTCTTAAAAATTTTAGACACCTGCTAGACATCTAAGCAAAACTTTTATTGTTAAAGTTTTTCTTTAAATGCAATAAATAAAATATGACAATTAGGATTCTCTTATAAATTATGATAGCAAAAGTAGTAGTCCAACCTGGAAATTTAAATATAAAATAGTCATTTCTTAACTTGAAAGTCAAAAAATAATTAAGAATCATGAAATCATTGTGACTATTATAAATTTTGTGTTCTCATAAGAATTGTCGAAAAATATTCGGACACATGCTAGACATGTAAGCAAGTTTTCAATGGTAAAATATTTTTATGGACTTGAACCATTAGATACATTTCATAAAGTTTTACGCTAAATTTCATTTCCGCAACCAAATTATGATTCCAAATTTTTTCTACCTCAAAATTGCAATTCAAAGGTTTTTGCCTGAGCCCTCAATCAACTTTTTTTCCCACATATATAGTCATTTTACAATATCAACATCAAATTACAGGTGTGTAATATTTGGCATATATGAATTTTGGTGTCAACCATTGTATAATGTTTGGTTTACCACTAGTGAAACTTGACATCACCACCATTGTAAAAAATCATGAAGTATTTATGCCAGTTAATTTAAAACTCTTATACTAAGTGAGCTAAACAAAATTTTGCTTGTTTCTGCAAAAGATCGGATGTGATTATTAGAGGTTAGATTTCTATTAAGAAAAACTACTGATCCGAGGAACTTAATATGGTGTTGTATACAAAAGGAAACCATACGTTTTTCTTTAATGCATAAGTTTTGAGTACCTACGCTTTTCAAAACATACATAGCATATCTTATGTTTTGGCCAATTAAAACACAAATAATCTTCCATGTAACAAGATAGATAGATAGATAGATATATAGATAGATAGAATTAAACATAAGGTAAGTATATCACCTAAGATGATAATGAGAAAACGAGAAAACATCTTTAGCAAACCAATCTCCTTCATCAGAAGTTAATTCCAATCAGTCATGAGCATCCACGTATCATCTATGGGTTCATGAAATTTTGTAAAATCATAACCCCATGTCAAAGATGCTTGCTCCGGAACATAAAAACACGTTGTAGCATCCAGATTCAGATTCATCACCTCATCAACAATATTCTCACATTTGGTAGTGACAATTTCTGAGTTTGCAGTTATAGAATCAACTTCTCTGTTCATAAGGCCATTGTTGATTGTGATAGACCTTATGTAATTTTCGAGTGTGTTGTTTCGAGGGGGAAGAGCATCACTTTTCTTGGTCCTTACGGTGTGTAGTCGACGTTTTGTAGCATTCCAATGATTTTTAACAATATTTTCACTTCGTCCAGGGAGCCTTCTAGCAATTTCGGTCCATTTGTTGCCTATTATCTTGTGGACTTCAATAAGTATTTGATCCTCTTCTTCACTCCAGTAATTTTTCTAAAAACACATGGAATATGATAGCCGTTACTATGCATATATACGCGTGTACGTACCACATATATATACATAAGTCGAAAATTAAAGAAAAAGATTACTTTGATGTCCGGACGAAGATGGTTGTGCCACCTCTCTCTACATTGTTTACCTACTCGTCCTTGGAACACTTTTGCGATTGATGTCCAGTTTTTCATTCCATTACGTTTCACCATTTTTACCAACATCCTACGCATATATATATATATATATATCCCAACACACATATTAATAATATAAAATCTTCAACAATAATAATTATATCATTTAACAAAAAGAAAATATTTGTAAAGATTTTTATAATGGAAACATTACTTTTTTTGTCAACATATTAAATTATTAACTTTTTGATGAGATTAAAAAAAAAAACTTACTCGTCTTCAGTAGGAGTCCATTGCCCTTTGATAATAATGCATTTCTTCTTATGATCGGTTTTGAACATCACCTTATCTTGACGCCTGTTAAAGGTCTCTTTTGTGACCTTCTCACTCTGAGATATTAAATTGATACCCTCTGACTCTGAGACATTAAATTGCTGAGACTCAACCACGGCATGAACTGGTTCGTGACAACCAATGATAAGCCCTTGATTGTGAGCAGTATAACCACGCATAGTATTCTCCTGAAAATCATGCATATTGTATGATATCCCTTCAGATATTACAGGAAATTGGGTGTTAAAGGTCATTGGAAATTTTGGATCGTTGGTTATGTTATATTGAAATCCCTCAAAAACATTGGTGTTTGGGAAAGAAGTTATACCCATAAATGGATTTTTTGAGGGTATTTCAAATGAAGGATGTCTGGAAAATAAACGATTTAGAATATCGCAATTGTGAGGATCGGAATTTTGGTTTGGGGTCGATGAAATCAGATTTTGGTGATACATCTTCGAAAAAAATCAAAAAGAAAGTTGAGGCTGTTAAATTATGACCAAGAGATTTAAGATGCTCTTTTTTTATCAGTACGAAAGAAGTGAGAGTTTCTAAGGAGATTTTATTGTAGATGTTCGTCAACAATCCCTTATATAAATAAGAAAACTATTAAAAGTAATATATTAAATGCAATAAGAAAACATTTAATTAAGCGCAATATATTAAATATGACACTTATGGTTCTCTTACAAATTATGATTTAAAATTAGTATCATTATTACTTGTAAGTAAAAAAGTTAAGAATCTTGAAATCATTATGACTTATTAGGAATTTTGTGCTTTGATATGAAAACTTTTAAGACACGTAATAGACATGTAAGAAAGTTTTTAATGGTCAAAGTTTTTGTTTTTGGTAAGATTTTTTTGGACTCAAACAATTAGATACTCTTTATTAATATTAGCAACGATGGCCTTCAGATAGTTTATATTGTACATTTCTTTGAAATATCCGGACACGTGCTAGACATGTAAGAAAGTTCATATAGTAAAAGTTTTATTTTTTGGTAAAAACTTTTGTGGTCTTGAATAATTAGATATGTGTTGAAGCTCCTTTAGCCCACTGGTTGATCAAGGGTTAATTAATGCTTCTACACTAAGAGGTATGGGGTTCGAGTCCCAGATACTTTGACTTATTAACAAATTTGCAAATTAATGGAGGCAAATGTGCATGAGATCTCCAGCTATGTACAATTATAGCTGTTCGCCAGGATTCTATGCAGAGAAGGAAGTGTCGTCAGGTCGTGTATCATTGAAGGTGTCCGTCAAGAGCATGAAGAAGGAAGTGTCTTATGTTGTGGATCTAATAAGAGTCGGAAGGAATTGTCCGTTGTAGAATCGTCTATGTAACAATTCTCATAATTTGTAATAAATAATAAATCCAGACGTTAAAAAAAAGAATAATTAGATATGTAAAACTGAAAATAAATGACAAATATTTAAACATTTGTCCATCAATGCATTCTAGATTCAAGATTAGTGACATATGCTTTAATATAATTAAAATCCTGTTATTTCCCCAGCTCATAGAAATCTTACAAAACTATCAACATGCATACTACTCTTGAGAGCTTTTTCTGTTCTCAACAAGAAAGGTTACTTCATGTGCTCCTCTTCCAAAGAATAAGTCACAGTAACGCACCAATCCTGCTAGCCCTCATTGGCCAAATTGTTCCCCCTTTATCCACTAAGATCCATCCAACCTGATGTTTTGCATATTCCAAATAATATTAAGTCAAAATGTGACATCCTAGCCCCAAACCCAAAAAATCGGTCTGACTTGTTTTAAACTAATCGGGTAGAGTGTTAGTCTAATGAGATCTATTTAAGAGAGATTAGGGTTATCCACCCCTTATTTCGTGCCTCCTAAACCCTAGAGAGAGAGAGAGAGAGAGAGATATCATGAGAGAGAGATGAAGGAGCCGCCGTTGAGATCAAGAACAGATCTTACCAGTCCTAGAAGATGGTGAGGGAGCCATGAGCTGATCTACCCACCGTTGGAAAGAATTGAGTCTTAGATTTGCAAAAAGTCTAAGATCGTTTCCATAGGAATTTCCGTTTGAGAGTAATAATCGAAACCATGCAGCTGGTGCTAGTGAGTTCATTAGGCTAAGGTGAGGATGTGACTGCGGATCTATAGATCTTTAGGGTTTTCATGTTAAGTCGATTGGATCTAGGTTGCTAAATGATATGTGATTGATTGTGGCATGTTAGATTGATAACCCTGAGATTACGTGATGATTGAAAGCATGAGACTATATGTGATGTTGAAGTGGTAGTTAGCTAGAGTGGTGTTGCTAGGTTGATTGGAGAACATAAAAAGAATATCATAAGTATTGCTTGTGCCGGTCTGTGAGCACGGGCAGAGAGACGTGTTGCATCTCGTTGATGGATGACGATCTTGATGAAGGTAAGGCACGCCCTAGGAAGCCATGCGTGTTAGGACTTGTTTGCCATTGCTTATATTGCTTGTATTGCTTGTGATTGATTGTTGTGTGATTGGTTGCAAGCATATTTTCTTGTATTCCTAAATTTGTGAAACTTTGGATGCTACTCTCTTTATGGTGGAAATCAAATTGTCGATTGTACGTAGAGTCATATGGATAGTTATGTTCGGAGATTTTCGGGTTTGGTGATGTATCTAGCTTTGGAAATCGTGTCGAGTGAGTCAGTTTGCATTCTTGGAAGCGGAGAAGACCTATATAACAACAAATGATATACCTCAAGATGACAAAATAATCGTTATCTTCCCGACGATTGTTTCACGCTCAAGTTAGAAATAAAAGATGTGATTGGACGAGAATGAATAAACCAAGCAGACATAAAGACAAATTCAAAGAATTTTTACGGTCACATACATTAGATTTTTAAAATTTAAAAAGTGGATTTAAATTTTTTGTCGAAAAGACTTTAATTTGTTATATTAGTTATTGTAATTTTACAAACATGACAATGGGCTATATTGTTTATTAGTTTTGATTTTGCGGTATTCACTTATAATTTTTGGATGTAGAGGGTAAATTTGTATAAAATGGTGACTTAGAGGGTTATTTGGTAAAAAAAAACCTAAGATATAAAACTTTTTTGATGATATAAGAGATGAAATTAATGATATTTATTATAAATATAACAAATTAATTTTCTTTTGTAAACATTAAATTAATAAATATTCATATCAAATAAGAAACAAATAAATAATCAGAAAATATTGGTGGTCAATTAGCCAATATTACTGCATCAATAGTCTTCATTAATGTTTTTTTTTAATGCAACAACATATCACTAAATTCTTGTTTGGATACAAACTTAAATGAATGTTAATAATTTTAATGAGAAGATAAGTAAATTACTTATTTTGTAAAAAAAATTTAAACCACACATTAGTTAGAAATTTACTCCTTGATCGATACTCCAATCAAGAAGAGTAGAAGCTTACATAAGAATTTCAGAAGATAATTTTTAAAAATCATGGTTAATCATTCCGTATTTATAGATTAAAAGAATGGAAAATACTCGAAAGCAAAGAAAAAATAAACTTGAAGCAAACCAAATTCATCCAAAATATTGAAAAATTATTATAGAATTTAAATAATTAATCTTAAAAAACTATTATGTTAAAAACCAAATATCTCAATAAAGAAGGAGCTTTAGCGCGTGAATATAGAGTTTGTGAACTTCTGCATGATGTCCATTTGTATTTAAAGTGAGATAAGGCTTAAAAGTTAAAACCGGCCAAAAACAACTATTATGTCTGTTTCAGAATATATATAAAATGTTTTGGTTATAAGTATATAGTTTAAGAAACTAATAATTATTATTTTTTGCTTTTGTGCTTTATATTGTAACTGATTTGGTATTTCTTTCAAAATAATTTGACCAATAATAAATTTACTACATAATGCAAATAGTCACAAAATTGTTTCAATTTATTTCTCTTTTGCTTAGAAAAATTGATTTTTTTTCCTACACATCCTATATTGTGAAACAAAACTAAATGCCTAAAACATAGGGGAGTAGTAGTTTTCATGTTTTACCAACTTAAAGAGCACATAGTATTCTATTTCCCTAGAGCGCCTTCAAAGTAGTACGATTGAACTAAAGACATGAACATTTTTGAAAAGGAACATGTTTACCAGCTAAAACAAGTATAATTCATTACATTTCTACAGATGCCAACTAAATTAGTGTAGAAGTATCAACATTAAAAATAGAAATTGCATAGCGACATACAAAACCAAACCAAAAGTTATGTTGCCAATATTGTCACCATCAATTCCGTCACTAATCACATGTATGTACCACATGAAAAGAATCAGTTGATATATGTTTAAAATTAATTAAACCAAAATTTAAATCTAACCTTAAGTAATCAATCATAAACCCGACCGGATAAAGAGCAATTTAAGACATTTTGAATTGTCAGGTCGGGTTTCTCCTCCATCTCTATAGTGGTCTCAACATAACGTTCTTGACGAATATTTCATATGTAGTGTTCATAATCTTTGTTTTCATCGGATCAAACACCAAAGAGGTGACACATTGTGGAAGTTCATAGCCGGTTTTGCGTTATTCACTTCTGTTTTCGTCGTCATCTTGTCTCTCAGTCTCTAACTCCCGTTTTTGCTCCTACTTGCAAGTTTCAATGGTAAGCATCAACTTCTCTCTTCTGCAATATTCGCATAGATAGGTGTTAAGGTAATTAAAACTCAAAATTTTATTTATATATAGGTATATTAATTAGGTTAAGTATCACAAAAGTATATTTCTAACGGGCAATCATATATAACTATGCCTAATTCAATACTTCCACTCAAAATAAATTAAGCATTTACAAATGGTCGGCAAATTTGTCAAGAATTATGCAAAATTGAACACTTCTTAATGTTAGAGATATAAAAGAGAAGGGATTCTTCTTTTATATATCTCTTACACTTAATGCGTTTCCATATACATCAGCAAAATGTTTCGTGGTGCGAACGAGCATGCATTGTTTAATAATTCCATCTACTGTCATAATCTTATTGAGAGATATAAACATATATAGGTACATGAATTATGTTAGATACCACACAAATTTGTTAGAGCATTTCTATCTAGAGTTTTTGAAAAAAAAAATTAATTGTATAATTATATTTGATTTTTTCTAATAATTGAATCACTAGCTAAACGACAAGTGTAAATTAAATTTGGGAAACGATTTTCATTTCAGAACCGTTTTGTTTTTTTTGTTTTTCTTTTTTTTAGTATTATTTTAATAAAATGTATCTAGTTTATATATCCTAAGGGAAGTTCTCTAAGGGATTTCATATATAACTAAGCCCAAGTCCAATAAAAAAATTAAAAGAGCATTGGACAATCACATTTAAAAACAACTGAGGAGAGAGCTCATGTACTAGAGGAGATATATAGTACAAGTTTGATAACGATCGATCAAATTGGAGATTTGAAGGTTTATGTGCTACGTGTGAAGGAGACTCCGTTTAAAGTAAGAGTGTCTCGAAGCCTTTCGGAGAGATATATAGGGTTTACTCTCAACTCTCAAGTCTGTTGAAGCCAATGTCACGTGGAAGGCACGTGAGTGTTAGGTTGCCGTTGTAAAAACAGAAGAGAGGATAAGGTCAATTCTATTACACAGCTTTGTTATGTTTTCTCTTCCCCCTTAGATAAATCGTCTTCAATTAGTTTTCTCGGCTTCATTTCGATCAGTTGATTTATCCGGTTACCGGAGAATAAGAGAAATTTGCGAGTTGGATGATTGAGGATAAAACCTCACACAAAACCAGATACTTTGACAAATATTAAGCATTATGAAGCGTTATCTATTAGATCTTTAAAAAAAATCTGCAAATCCATTTAAACCATATTTAAACCATATTAAAATCTGCTAATCCATTATCTATTAGATCTTATAAAAGCGGTTCAAATCGAATCGAATTGGTTTATCAAATCGAAGAATGATTAGACAATCTTACACATACATGTTTAATTTATATATGCATGTATAAAGAAGATAGATATCAAATAGTATGATCATAGTTAGGTCTTGAAGCTGTATAGCTCCACATGTGCTTTGACAATATATAAAAATAAAGTAAAAACGACAATAAGTGTGGCTAATTAGTATCTAAAGTCATTTAAGATTTGGATTAAATGTTAATAACAACGCCTTAAACTCTTGAAAAACCTTCTCTATAAAAGCAGTAGCTACCTGCCCACCACCTCAAAATATCAACTCTCTCTCTCACTTTCAGAACTCTCCCTTTCTATCTCTCTCTCTAGAAAAAATATCTTCATCTATATATCAATCATATAGAGTGATTTCATAAAAATGGAGAAAAGAGAAAGTAGTGGTGGGTCTGGATCAGGAGATCATGCAGAGGTGAGAAAAGGGCCATGGACGATGGAAGAAGATTTAATTCTCATCAATTATATCACCAATCATGGTGAAGGTGTTTGGAACTCTCTCGCCAAATCTGCAGGTCAAATTTTATTTATATATATATCAAAATAATTATAATTGATCTCCAATATAAGTTATGCATATATGTGTGTGTGTTGATGAACTAGGGTTTGATCTTCACTTTCGAAGATATTATATTTTAATCACTATATGATGAGTCCAGTTTTTTTTTTTTTTTAAAACCTTTTATGGGTTTGATAAAAACTATATTTGGAGCTTTTTGTTACACAATCGATCTAAATATGATTCTATGAATTAGGAATTTTTCTTTTCATATGAAAAACAAGAGACTATGGAAGCAAGACTATCCCCAAGATCTTAAGACATATATAAGGGAAATCAATAAAGAAATTTTTTTCTTATGCCCGGATCTTAATTGAATGTTTGCTAAAAGCGGTCTTGACGGAAAAATATAAATCATCGTTTATATATCTCTATCGTATGTATCTAACTGGATTAGAAATCTAACTACATATAATTGGAACTTTTTCTTCAAACAGATCGCTTACAAAAGGTCTTGTTTCGAACTTTATATACACGTACACAAGCAATTAGTTATATACTTATCACTCTAAATAGACTTGAGCTTAATAGACTTGAGCTTAATTGAGATTATTCATTAGTTAAAAAACTCAATTAGTTATATACTTATATACACACAAGCAATTAGTTTCGAACTTTATATACACCCGAAAAAAAAAACACTAATAGAAAATGACAAATATAATTCTTTCTTTCACAAATAAATAATACATATATACATGCATGCACACATAAAAAAAATTTGGTTATGGATATATATGCACAAAATTGATATTTTGTTTCTTCGTAATTGATTGTAATATAGGACTAAAACGCACCGGAAAAAGTTGCCGGCTCCGGTGGCTGAACTACCTCCGACCTGATGTGCGACGGGGAAATATCACAGCAGAAGAACAGCTCATCATCATGGAACTTCATGCAAAATGGGGAAATAGGTTAGTGGTTACCTAAATATACATAAAAATAAAATTCTAAGATAATCAGGTTATATATGTAACGAGAGAAGCAAAGCTAAGTTTTCAAACTTTGAATCGGTTCTATATATATTCTTGAGGCTAAAGACTGAAATGATCTTTAAAAAGACATCAAAGCAAGACATTAGGTAATGAAGCCAAACATATCGGTGGGTATAACAAAACTTTCCAATTCTTTTCAGCCATTTGTTTGAGTTTTACACACGTTTCGAAATTTCCTCACCACTAACATTAAACCTCGTGCCGATTCTCCCAAAGACTTGTGCATGGTTGTAATTCTTTTACACGACCATATACAAAGACATGTACCAAAATACGCATACAAGTGATGGATACCGAAAGTTAGATATTCCATATGGATATGGTGGTGTAACTGAAATTTTGATTGAAGTTGAATAGTATTTGATTTAATTACTTATCTTTCGGGTCTTGGCTTTTAATTTTTTAAAAAATTAATCTCACTCGCTTGCCATGTAATAATAGCATTTGGCAAATTTTGTTCTAAAATCAAAGCTTGCAAAGTCTCAATGCAAACCTTTTTTTATATTCCTCGACGTAGATGTATGTAGCTGTTTCCTTGCATCAACAACTAGACCTAACCTTCAAATATAATATAATCATTTGTTCATTTTATCAAAATTATATAATTCTTCATTATGATTAGGTGGTCAAAAATTGCAAAGCATTTACCAGGAAGAACCGACAACGAGATAAAGAATTTTTGGAGGACCAAGATCCAAAAATACATTATCAAGAACGGAGAAACGACGACCGTTGAATCACAAAGCTCCGAGTTCATAAACCATCATGCGACAAGCACGAGCCATGTCTTGAATGATACACAAGAAATCATGGATATGTATTCTCCAACGACGTCGTATCAACATGCCAACAATATTAATCATCACCTTAACTACGGTAATTATGTGCCTGAATCGGATTCGATCATGCTGCCATTATCAGTTGATCAATCCGAACAAACCTATTGGAGCGTCGATGATCTTTGGCCCATGAATTTATATAATGGTAATTAATTAATAAGTAAGTTAAAACCTTATATATATTTACGGTCCAAAGAGGGGGTTATATATTATATACAAAACAATATACGTATTTCTAGGCCTAATACTTAATATAAACAGATATGAGAGTACTGTATGGGTTTGCCTCATTGTTTAGAGGGAGATTTTATATATATTCTATATATATAGCACCCATTTCCTATTGTTATTGCACCAATTCGACTTTACATAAATAAAACAGCGGAATGGACCATATAATTTCCGTATTTTAAAATAGTTGGTCAGTGCTCTATTGTTAAAGAATGGTCGTTTGATGTATGTACAAGAACACCCTTCAGTATATCTTATGTTTTTTTGTCATCATATTATGTTTTTAAATTTAGGTGTGTGTATTTTTTGTTTATATGGACATGATGAAAAAACAAGATATAGTAATGGAGACAACATGCAAAATTTGAGATCTCTAATTATTTTTTATTTTTATTTACGTACATTGTGCCAATTGGGCAGAGTGGTGATGGCAACTCTAACCAGTAAGATACTTACCATATTATCATGATATTGATCTATTTTTTTTTTTTTTTTTGTATTGAACACTTTGAAAACTATATTTGAAAATCAGAATTCGTTCAAATTATAGAACAAGATATTTTGTGCATGACAATGCAACATGTGGAACCCGACGTTAGCCTAACTCTTTGAGCCAAATTTAACATATTTATATCTATATCCATATATCTTATAACAAGTTGAATTTCAAATCAACTTTTATCCTTACGTACTTAAGAAACAACCTGAATTGATCATCTATTTCTGATGTGGTTCACGTCTTGTCTATAGAGTAATTTTAGAGACAGTTTCCCATCAATTAATTTCTATAGAAAAAGTGGTCTATGGTATGGATATGGTTGTATAGTAAAAATCATTTTAAAAATTTAAAGGCCTACTTTCTCTATAGTTTTAACCAGAGCCGATCCTGAGAATTTGAAGGTCGGGAGCAACAAAAAAAATTGAAAGCTTATTATTTGTAAAGATTTTGAAAGAAAAACAATGAAAATAGAAGTAGGAGATTTGAACTGCTCACCTACTACTTAAAACAATATTGACAAAACACGGCCACTTAGATACGTAAAGGATTTACAACTGCAAGCCCAAGCTTCTTTTACTTGGCCTCAAGATCCGGTCTGATTGTAACGTTTTAAAAAATAAATAAAAAATGATATATAATTTAATTTTTAAAAATTCTTTAGTTTTTTTTTTTTTTTTTGGGGTCAAATTTAGAAGCTAACTAAAGAGTACAATGAAATATGGAAACGAAATTAAGGTTACATACATATCAAAAGAGTTCATCGAACATTTTTTGTAATTTTTTTTTCCTGAAATTCTAATTAAAATCATATAAAGTCTCTTTTGGGTTTGGAAATACATGTACATGTGGATGAATGAAAGGCACATGTCACATGCTATATAACATTCAGAAACATGCATAACCTAATCTATTAACCTATATATAGTCATAGAACATGTGTCATATAGGTTTATACAATTTTACCACTTATTATCATAACCCTTCTTCCCAATGTATCTAATTTTGTACATGACAATGCAACATGTGGAACCCGACGTTAGCCTAACTCTTTGAGCCGAACTTTCAAAACCTCAAATATTTCTAAGAATTTTCCATTAGAGGAAGAAAAGAAAGACAAAATGAATGAACCAACAATTTAAATACTCGATCTAAATAGAATATTCGCAGAAAAATTAGTTTTCAAGAAGAAAAAAATAGCAGAAAAACAAGAATGGTAATTGGTGTGGATAAATAGTTAATGTGCTCAATGCTGTTGGTCGACTATATAATGATAAACAAAGAGGTTAAAGTATTGGTTAGTGTATCAGAAATTAGTATTGGTTAAAGTATTATCATTATATAACACCTAACGTCTAGATTAACTTGAGCTTTAGCAATTAGCATGACGAAATAAATTTGATGATTAATTTTTATCCAAAAATCATCTGATTACTAAAATAGTAATAAAGAAGAATAATCGGACCGACTAGGATATTATGCGTGGACGACAAGAAGTTCGGTAAGGGGAGTTCACTATAGTTATTAAGACGGCATATCTAAGGTTTATTAAATCAATATATATCATATGTTATCCTCACATAGGTAATAGTGGTAGAGATCATCGTATTAGTTGAGACTTAATTAATTAATATGAATAACAATCAAGTTTGCCATTGCATCTATGTATGGTTTCGCTCATATTTCTAATCATGTAGATTAAAACCATTTTCTTAGGAAATAGATATACATTAAGGTGCACAATCTAGATTTGGATAGATAGAAAAAGTAGAGGCATTGGTTTAATTATCAAATGTTCTCATCACACCAAGAGACTGAGATCTCAATCAATGTTTCCATATTGATAAATAAAAAACTTATAAAGTAGACAAACCGTGGATATAATATTTCACGTCCAAAGAGAGTAGATCACCTCATGATGACCAAGTTGCTTAGATTGTATAGCATTCATATTCTAACTGAATCTAGAACATATGCTCAAATCATTTCGTTTGGAGTTTTGACCCATCCTCATTATATATGCATTCTAGGCAAGTACAAATATGAAACATTAAATTTGTTGAATTAGGTTGCATGTCTTGTTAGTTTTGCCCACATGTTTCTCGTGTGGAAATTGTGAATTTCCCATGTGAATCATAAATGAACACATAACATGGTGGGTCGTTCACAACTTACAATTGGGAATTATTTAAAACGTGCATGAATTTGAGTTCCATATTTTTTTTTATTATACTTTTGTTCCTCTTTCCTTGGCAATGTAATGATCCGTCTGTTACGTAGCCTTGGGCCTTGGGCTTTTGAGATTGATTGATATATACACAAGTTGGTTTCAAGCTCATAAAACTTTCTTTTAAACTTTGGTTAAGTGGGGAATCATATATACTTCCCCTAAGAATATTTTTCATACCTTTTACATGGTATTACAGTTCTAATACAGACTGTACAGTTTTGTTTCAAATTGGTTTTACTGTCGATTCTAACATAGAATGATCGATCATCTCGGGAGAACGTGTTGTTCGAGTAAAATTAACACAATCAAGAAATTTACGTATAGATTTATTGAATGTTATCTTAACAGATAACACACTACACATGTTACTCGCAAAATAAAAAAAATCAAAACATATAAATTGAGTCAAAAGATTTATTTAAGCGATTTTCTTAGATGGTGTAACATAATTTGAACCAAAAGATAATAATGAATAAGATCGGCAAAACCATGACCTACTAACATTGTTAGCATTAGTAGTAGTAGAAAAATATTCACCAACACCTAAATTTTTTTCAAACTTTCATCTATGTATATTAATATATTATCCAGAATGTTTTAGAAGCTTTGAATGTCTTAGAAATTTGCAAAGATGGAATAGAAGTGTAGAGGGATATAGATCAATTTAATCCCTACATCCGTTGTGGAAGTGTATATAAAGAGTTGGATTCCTCATTGAAAAGTATCCAAAAATATAGAAGTAAGTCAATACAAGTAATTAAACACTGCTCTAATTAAGCATCTCTCTCTAAATAAATACTGGGATCTTTTAGAATTAAGTTGGTTTTGTAACCGCAAGAGATAACGAAAATGTTAAGACTGTCCGTTCTAGAATTTGTGAAGAATTAGCTGTGACAAGTGATATAAAAGAAAAGTTAAACCGTTCAACGTTTTTATGCATGTAATTATTAGAAAGATAATCGTAAAAGGATATTAATTAGTTTGGAGATCGATTCGACTAAATTAGTTACTTGCCCGTCCACCAAGGTTAATGGCAAACATAGATCCCACATTTTCAGTCTCATGATTCATTGATTAAAGATCTAACAAAAGTTATAGAAACACAGGATTTATCACTGGTTATACAAGATTTTCGCTAACACTTGAGTAATGCAATGAATGAAAAAGAATATATTTTTTTTGTCTAAAGTCTAAATACCATGGTCAGTTGAATAATAAAATTAATATACATTTCCTTTGACTAATCAACAAGCACTAAATTTTAGATAACTGGTGTAATAATAAGATTGGGCCGAGAAAATCCATATTCACAATTTTAAAACGGCAAATATATGTGTCGTTTCAAATACCAAATTCAAAATCTCTGCTTTTATTACTCAGCTTATTAAGCCGTCTAAGCATATTACAGCTGTCAATCATCGAAAGCATGTGACGCGTCTCTCATTTCTCATCCCACTCGCGCACATATACACGTGTTATCCACTCTCCATTCGATTCCCGCCACGTAAGAATCTATGCACTGATGTTTTATTCACAAAGCGAGTAAGCTGTATTTTCTACTCGCGAAGCTGGTCAGCTTATCGTGAAAGCGACACGGCTGATTTAGGGAAATAAATTAAAAACGTTGTCTTATTCAAGGTGCAAAAAAAAGCAGATAAGTAAGCAAAAAAAATCATTAATTACGAAAATACCCTTAAATTTCTCCGAAAGGGAAAAAAAAACTTTTGCGCCGCGTTTCAACGCTCAATAGTGTTTCATCTTCTCTCAAATCAAAATCCAGAGAAGAAAAAAAAACGATTTTTTCTCATCAGATTCTGAAGAGTGTCTTTGTTCTTCTTACAAAGAAGTTTTCTTTTTTTTGAAGATTCTTCGGTCACTGTTCGAAAACTTGTTGTTTTCGTTTCTCTCGGAGCTCAAAATCAGGTCTAAATTATTAATTTTCAGATATTTTGTTGTTTGTTTTTCATGAGATTTTAACCTAATTTATAATTTGGTTATTTGGGAGATATTGTTGGTTTTGTGTGTAATATAGTTAGGTTGATTTTTTTTTTTTGTGATTTGTTTGTCGTTTTCTGATTTTTTTTTTCTTCTACAGTCGGCGAGAAAGTTTTTTCTCGGGAAAAAAATGGAAATGGAAGTTGTTTTGGGAAGCGGAGAAGAGGCGAGACCTAAACCTTGTTCTTCGGAGATTGAATCAGCTGAGAAAACCCTAAAAGATGATGTTGGTGTTCAAGAGAACGGTGTTAGGGTTTCTGAAAACGGTGAGAAAAAGTCTGATGTTGTTGACGATGATGAGAAAACTGTGAAGAATTTGAACGAATCTGGAGTTATAGAAGATTGTGTTATGAATGGAGTTTCTTCTTTACTGAAATTGAAGGAAGATGTGGAAGAAGAAGAAGAAGAGGACGAAGAAGATGATGAAGAAGAAGAAGAAGAAGAAGAAGAAGAAGAGCATGGTTACTGTGTTGGTGATTTTGTGTGGGGTAAAATCAAGAATCATCCATGGTGGCCAGGTCAGATTTATGATCCATCAGATGCTTCAGATTTGGCTTTGAAGATAAAGCAAAAAGGGAAATTGCTTGTGGCGTGTTTTGGAGATGGGACATTTGCTTGGTGCGGTGCGTCGCAGTTGAAACCGTTTGCTGAGAGTTTTAAAGAGTGTTCGAAGGTGAGTAATTCGAGGGGGTTTCTCGGTGCGGTGGAAGAGGCGGTTGAAGAGATTGGTAGACAGATTGAGCGTGTATTGGTATGTGATTGTGCTGAGGTGAAGTATAGGTTTGATAGTCCTGTAGTTAACAATGCTGGGATTAAGGAAGGTGTTTTGGTGCCTGATGTGAGACGGGAAATGATTTCGTCTTTGCTGGTTGGGAAACATGGAGAGATTCTTAAAGATGTTAAAAGTTTTGCAGAGACGGTTAGTTTTAGCGGTTTGCTTGAGCTGGAGATATTGAAAAGGAAGGTATCTGCGTTTTATCGGTCTAATAGAGGATATGGTTTGACTGAGTATCATGAGCCTCAATCAGTTCCAGGACTTGAGGATAAGAACAACGATGATGATGATGATGAAGATGAGAAAGTTAATGATGGGTTAGAATGGCGTGCTAAACGTTCTAGCATAGAAGAAGCTGCAGACTTGGATAATGAAGAGTCGTCTCTTCAGAGATCGTTAGAGAAGTGTTCTGGTTTTCCTGATCATAGGCTGCCCCACAGGAGGAAACAGAAAAGCATTACTGAAATAATAGAGAATGAGTCGGCTGCTAAGGTGAGGTTTGAGATAGAACCTACGGATGGAGATGTAAAGTCAAATGTAAAATCGGGTAGGAAGAAAACAAAATGCCATGATGAAGTTAATGGTGATCTTGAAAATGTAACCGCCACTGCACCGAGGAGGAGAAGAAAGAGTGAAGTAGCTACAATTGAAGACGCTGGTCACAAGCAAGCGGTAGAAAGTAGCAAAGGCAAAACTTCGAGGAAGAAGAAGAAAATGGATGTGGATGATGGTGATGATGATGGGAGTGGAGACAGAGAAGAGACTGAGGAAAAAGAGATTTCAGAATTGGAAATAGATATCGATTCAACTCCATTGGCTTCGCTGCGGAAAAGGGTCGGGTTTGATGATTCAAACGTTGAAAGAAGTGCGGCTGAAAATGGCGAGACCGCTACACAAACATCAAAGAGAGAGAGGAAGAAGAGCAAGTATCTTTCGCCTGATTACTTGTCTGATTTTTCACGGAAAGGAAGAAAGAGTACAATTGAATCTGACTCTTCGAAAGTTTCAAGTCAGAGCCAAGTAGGAGAGCAAATAACTAATGCTAGTGATAGCCTCGTGGCAGTGGAAGAAGATACGTTGGATAAACCTTGTGAACCATCATCTGATAATGGGTTAGGTCACGAAGAAATGTCTGGGGAACTTAGTAACGCCGTCGACTTTCTGAGGTTGGGAGCTACACCAAAGGAAATGCAGGATCTAATTCGTGTAGCCGCTCTTGGCACACAATATCCAAAAGACAGTAGCTCAAGAGACATGGTAAGAGAATTCATGACCATTTATAGAAGCTTCACATATCATGATGGAGCCAATCACAAGTTCTTAGGGAGCTATGATAGTTCGGATAAAGAAAAGGAAGAACTGAATGAGATGGGCAAACATGTTGTAACTAAGGGAAAAGAGAAGAAAGATAAGAAGCGTAAAGCCAAGGAGCAAGCAGAGGAGATAGAGGTAATTGGAAAAGAGGAGAATGAGACAGACAAGCATGGGAAAACGAAGAAAGAGCGAAAACGTAAGAAGTCTGAATCAAAGAAGGAAGGGGATGAAGGAGAAGAAACCCAGAAAGAGGCGATTGAGTCAACAAAGAAAGAGAGAAAACGTAAGAAGTCCGAATCAAAGAAGCAAGCTGATGGAGAAGAAGAAACTCAGAAAGAGCCAAGTGAGTCAACTAAAAAAGAGAGAAAACGTAAGAAGCCTGTATCAAAGAAGAAGGCAGAAGCAGTTGAAGAAGACGAAACTCGGAAAGAGTCAGTTGAATCAACCAAGAAAGAGAGAAAACGGAAGAAGCCTAAACATGATGAAGAAGAAGTCCCGAATGAGACTGAGAAACCCGAGAAGAAGAAGAAGAAAAGAGAGGGAAAGTCTAAAAAGAAAGAAACTGAGAAGGAATTTTCAGGAGCTGAGCTATATGTTACATTTGGTCCTGGTTCAAGTTTGCCTAAAAAGGAAGATCTGATTGAAATATATGAAAAATTTGGAGCTTTGGACAAAGAGAGAACTGATATGGTCGACAACAACTTCTCTGCCCGTGTCGCTTTCTTGGATGTAGCTGATGGAGAAAAAGCCTTTGAATCCTCACTAGAGAAGTGTCCGTTTAGTTCTAATTCGACCGTTAAATTCAGACTCAAGTATCCAAATGAGAGAACAGAGGAGAAGAAAACTGAAGCTGAAGTTGCAGAGACGACAATGGAGGTGGAATATCTGAAGAAAAAGCTGGAGGAGATGAAAATGTTACTTGATGGATGCGAAGGAGGAATGACTGAGCAAGTGAAAGTGAAACTTGAAGGTGAGATGGTAAATTTGTTGGAGAAAGTGAGAAAGTGAGAGAGATGAGAGATCTTCTTAGGATTATTATGCTTTATGTTTTTCTTTTGGTTGGTTGAGAATTTTCAGGAGACTTTTGCAGGGTTTAGGATTATTTATGGTTTCTGCAAAACAAAAGAGAACTAGTATTTTGAGAGGGTGATGATGATACTATGATCTTGTCATAGGTTAGAATTTAGATCGATGTTCTTTTGTTTACAAAATTTGATACTAAACCCATTAGTGGGCTTTGGGCTTTTGGTATATCACTGATATTATCTTACAATCAAAATTTTCGAAATAGTATCCATTATCTGATCATTTCCATTATTTTACAAGCCCACTGAGATTATCTTACAAGCAAATTTTCAAAATCAGTCGGAAAAATTAAATCCCGGTCAATGAAATTTAAGCCTGTCCATTATGGATGGATAATCTGTGCCTTCTCTTATTTTTTTTGGACGAGAAAATGAAAAACTATAATTATCCGTTTGGATCCAAACAATTCATTTAAACGGATTAAAGAAACATATTCAATTATGAAAACGGTTTGAGGTATACTAGTTTTTTTTTTGTCGTAAGAAAATACTAACAATTATGAAATTACATATGTCAACAAAAGAAAAATATATTACTAAAAACTAAGCCGGGGAAAAATATTGAAAAAGATATTACTAAAACCTAAACTGCTAAAATTAAAGTTTACTAATTAAATCTTAATTTTATTCACTAGTCTTTCCTCAATATCAAAAATTAAGATATCCTAATTCTACTTACTATTTTTTTTCTTATGCTTCCGTCCTTCATTAATGTTACGAAAACATAAATGATATTGTGGTTTCATGGTTTTGTAAGTTGAGAAATACATCATATTATAAAAAAAAAAAAAACTAAAAACCAATGAAGCAGCAATAAGGGTTTAAGAGTTGAAAACACTACTCCATGAGGTGTGTTTATATAGAGAACACCAAAGCTCTAATTCTAAGAGGAATCGAAACCTATCCTATTTTTTTTTTTATCATCCGAATCGAAATCTATCCTTAATTGGAGTAATATCGTGAAGCAAAAATTGAAAAAGGCTAAAAACAAAGCATTATCGAAAAGAAAGAAAAAGGAAATAAAAGGAACATCAAAACGCAGAACATTAGCAGCCTCCCTGCATCAGTGGTTCAGTCTAAAAGTCCAATTGGTTGGAAACTAGTCAAGCCTACAACACTATAGTCTATAGATATTAGGGATTTTCCTAAACTAATAATTTCGAAGGTGAATTTAACTTTTTGATAAGAAGCTTTCGCAAATGCACCATGAAAAAAAATCATCCGAGCCAACATCCAAATAACTAAGTAGTAGTACACACGCAGGATTTCGAAACAATGAAATCGAACATGTGCGAGTTTACGTCCTTATCCATATATTTAATGCCATTGTGTCACCCACATAAAATTTTAAACATCCCTAACTTAAGATGTCGGTAACGATATTTTATAATGCATAATCTTTTAAATCATGATTTAATATTATTTATTGGAAAATATTATTCTCTAAGTAACAATTAACTAATGCTGATAAAGACTAATATATATGTGAATGGTGGTGCAAGGACAAAAGAGTTGTTAGAAATTAGTATGTCTATTGGGTAATTGATTTGACTCTTTAGCTTTGTCCTTAAGATTCGTCAAGGCAATTAATAAGAATATGGTACCTAGAGGCTAGAGGTAAATGGATTATGCAGTTCATAATACTATCACAGTATCACTTTGATTTTATTAAGGCCACGTTGTTGGCAGTTGGGATGAGAGCAAATAAAGAAATGCTATAACATTAAGAAACTGAAGCAAACAAATCGTTGGAGTGCGTTGCGTTTGCGTTGTTCGATCTGATGTTTTAAATTATCTTACCGAAACAACATTTTCTTAGCTAATTGATGATAATGTTGTTGTACCAATTATTTTGTTTTAAATTTTTCTTTAGCTAATCTTTTTGTTTTCTTTAACAAAATCTTCTTTGCATTGCATCTTAACTCTCAATAGGAAAAAAAATCTTAACTCTCAAAGGTTCGTCTTATATATGCGAGTAGATGATTATCTGCACTGTACGTAAAAACAGAAAATTTTTAAAAACTTAAAGTTTAGAAATGTAGTTTATGTTCAATTTAATTTGGATTATAAGATTAACCAATGTAAAACTTATATAAATTTTACAAAACAATTTAGTTTAGTCATCACAAAATTTAATACTTAGGTCATCACTAAACCACAAAAATTTAGCTTGGTTTGAATCCTATCTTGATTTTAAGATGACGAAAGGAAAAAAAAGAAAAAAAACATATCTTAATTTTAAGATTTTAGAAAAGTTCATTCACTTTTACTAATGGTTTCAAAATCTACATCATCTTAGGTTCAACTTAGGTATTATTACACATTAGTTATACTTATAAGCAATACATTTTACATTTGAAAATGTCATATGGAATTGAAAAAAAAAATGATTTCGCAAACATTATCGTTTTAACTTTTAAATCATCTAAATCATTTCTCTGATTTAAATATTCAATTTAATTTGTTTGATGCTAAATATTTCTTTATATAATAGATATATCTAGATTACCTAGTAGATTACACACAAACTAACTGATAATCTCTAAAAAAATTAATTTATCTAATACTCCAGTTTATTTATGGTTGAAATACCTGAACAACAACAACAACAAATATTTATGAAAAAAATATTCCCTAATTTTCTTATTATATCATTTGTTTTTCGATTCAATGTTCTTATTTCTTTATATGAAGATGCATATGAATATCTGATATACATGGTACCACTTTTAGTCACCCAAAATACAAAAGAGTCCGGTAATATCTCATTGTCAAATGTCAATTAATCAATTAAAAAAACATAAATCACCACCTAAACTTCTATATCCAATAGAGTCTTTGCTCTGTTTGATACAATGATATATACATTACCATTTCCTTAATTTAACCTTCTTTTTTTTTGAACACGAAATTTAACTAAATTTCCTTCATCTAACTAAATTTCCATTTTTTTAAAGTTTGGATCAAACATATTTTGCCATTTTTTATGAACCAACAATTTCGCCTATATAAACAAAACGCCATTACAGATAAAACTTGAGAGAAGCATGGAGAATGAAGATGAATATACAATGTCGCTTTGCCTTAGCTTTAGCTGTTACACCAACGATCGAATCGCTGAAACCGCCGAGCGAGTTCGATTCGAATTTTCCGATGAATCCAACGATAAGTTTGAATTTATCAATTTCCAACCAAATTACGATTTTGTATTTCCAATTTTCGATAAAGACGAATCGTCACTGCCACAGACGATAGTTACGACTCAACTGAGACATCTTTTCCTCCGAAAAGATCGGTCGTATACATCATCGTCTTCAGATGAAGAGGAGCTTGACGTAATCTCAAGTGATATACATTGTCCAGGGACACTGGAGAAATCGCTAAACGGAGGTTGGAGGAAGAGCAAATCGACGGGATCATCAGCATCGTCGACGTCGTGGAGAATTAGTGATTTGTTGAAGAGAAGTTACAGTGAAGGGAAAAAATATCTTAAGTTCTTGAATTGGAGTTCAAGAAACAGAGACGAGTTTACGAAGGAGAAGGAGAAGGTTTGTGCATATGAGAAGTTTTATATGAGAAACAGAGCAATGAAAGAAGAAGAGAAGAGAAAATCATTTTTACCTTATAAGCAACATGTCTTTGGGTTTTTTCTTGAATAGAGTTTCACTGTAAACATTTTCATTAATAAGTGGAACGATCATTAAGTAATTTAGTTAATTACTGCAGTGACTATAGACTGATTTTTATGTATTTATTATTAATATAGCGGTTTGGATTGAAAATAACTTACAAAAACAAAAACAAAAAGAAACAAACTAAATCCATAAAAAAAAAGTTTATAAAAAGTGTTTCAGAAGATGAGATTGAGTTAAGTTGTAGTTGTTGGCTCGCCTTACCGTTTTCTAGACATCAACCATAGCTGAAGTAGGTGAGAAGCAAGAGACAGAGTTATATTCATCTTTGGTTTAAATAGCCATAACCAAACCCGAATGGAAACCAATTTTAGTGCAAGGATTAAGATATATGGGTCAACTCAACCAATGAACTCTAATGAGTTAAATTTTTTGATTTTAGTGGATTGATGGATTAAATGAGTTGATGGATCATTATATCATAACATCTAACTACCATCACCATCATAATCATCATTCGACCATCATATCAAAATCATCATGTCAACATACCATAATCATGATAGTTATCATCATGATGCTATCATCATCATAAACCCATCATTTTCCCGCCAAAACGTAAATTCGTAATTTTTCCGTCAAAAACGAAAACTTATAATTTTCCCGCCAAAAACGTAAATTCGTAATTTTCCGGCCAACAACTATGAATCCGCAAATTTTACACCAAAAATGTGAATATGCAAATATTTCAAATATATCACTAATATTGGTGAAGGGCCCGAGCCTGATTATATTGATCCGTCGCACTAAATATAAGAAATAAATGTCAACATAGTTATTTTTTTATAACTCCAAATGTCATAATAATTATTGATGTGATAGAAGTTTCAAACAAAAGTTATGAAATTTTTGATAAACAATTTTCTCTATAAAAAAGTTATGAAATTTTAGTATACGCATGTCGGAGAAGCTGAAGTTGTTGTAGGTTGTTATTAGAAAGGGAGTCTCGTCTTCTACCTTTATGAATTATTCTCTCTGTTATTTTCTTATTCTTCTAGTAATCTTTTTGCTTTCGTCGTTGTAACCTTAAAAGAGCTCAAATGGGATCAGTGGAAATCAATCTTCTCTGCCAGTCACGTTATTATAAACTCTTTAATTATAACTTGAACATCGAAGAGTTTATTAAGTTTAAGTAAATTTTAGTAACTTAACATATTATTTAAAAAATAGTTTTTAAAAGAAATTAAAGAATAGGTATTTTTCAAAAGTGTAAACAAAAAAGAGTATTTTTCCAAATTTACTCTATTAATAAAGTATAAAATATATATTTAGTAAATAAATTACATAAATTAAATAATAAATTCTTACAAAATGAATGTGAGATTATTGCTCCTCAATTAATAAATAAAAGATGAGAATTC